CACTCCTCCTGTAGATGGGACAAGCCCGACCTCATTCGAAGAAGCCCCCCCCCACACCCCCCTAGAACCCCCCCCCCCCTGTCTGCGCGGGGCCGACGGCGGCAGCCCCGGGGCCAGCGCGCCCGAGGCAGCCCTGCGAGGAGGGGGGGGGGGGCGGCGCCGGCCTTCATCTCCTTCCACTCCGCGGCCTGCCGCTGCTGCAGCTGGTCCGGGGCCTGCGAGGCGCCCGCGGGCCGCGCGCGGTTTGAGACTTCCTCCCCCCCCCAAAGAAAACCTTTTCAAAACGATGTCGGAACTGCCGGGCTCGATTTCGAAATGGCGCTCCCGCCAAAGACGTCCTTCAAAAACCGGTATTGGTACGATGGCGCATCTTGTTGCAAGAAGTATGCAGCCGTCGTGCTACCATCAAGAACGCTGAGTACTCGCCATCGCTTGGAAGTCCACTCTCCCCGTGCATTGATGTCGGTGTTGTGCGTGGATGTTGTTTCGCAAGGTGAGCCAAGATGCTCCTCTCGGGATCCACCAAAAAGGTGGGAGGACCCTGAAAGGGGGCATGAGTTCGATCCGCTGGTGCACACTCAAGCCAGCAGTTTCGCGCGCGCGGCCAGCCCAGTCGCTGCTGTCGTCGTCGCCGCGGCCGTCGTCGTCACCGTCGCCGCCACCGCCGTGGCCGCCGCCGTCGCCGCCGCGGCTGCCGCCGTGGACGCCGCCGCCGACGTGGTCGCTGCCGTTCCAGACATCCGACGGTACGATGCTGTCAACACGCGGCACCATGCTGACGGCCCCAGGGCCCGGGGCCTCCCGGAGGCCGAACTGGTGGAAAAAATGCCTGGATCGAAGAATCATGATGTCAGTAGGCGACGAGCCCAGGGGGGAAATGAGAAGGAGAAGGCCTTCTCAGAAGGCCGCGGGACTTCTTAGAAGTCCGGGGGGCTTCTGAGACGTTTCCTTGGCCTATTTCGAATACAGACAGAACTTCTCAGAAGCCCTCTCAGAAGTCCAGAAACTTCTCAGAAGCCTCGGAAGTCCCGCCCCTTCTCATTTCCCCCCCGCGCCCGCCGCCGAGTCAGAGATCTGGGCCCCGAGTGGTTTCCAGGCATAACTCGGGCCTCCGCGGCCGTGCGGGAGGATCTGTGCACCCCTGGAACGCTCTCGACGGGCCGCAGCCGCTCGAAAGCATCCCGAGGCTGGGAGACCCCCGGGAACCCCACTAAAACGTCAGGGAACGCCCGAAAACACCCCAAGCCAATTGAATAACTGATACTTGGATGACCGTCGATACATTCATCTGTATCTATGGGTAGACAAGTAGATAGATAGAGATATAGATAGATATATAGATAGATGTATAGATATATAGACATATAAATAGATAGATCGATGGATAGATAGATAGATAGACCTATATATAGCTTGACATACAGATCGATTGCTAATGTATATATATAGCCAAATATATAGATAGAAGTGTGTGTGTGTGTGTTTGTGTGTGTGCGTGCGTGCGTGCGTGCGTGCGTGCGTGCGTGCGTGCGTGCGTGCGCGTGCGCGTGCGCGTGCGCGTGCGCGTGCGCGTGCGCGTGCGCGTGTGCGTGCGCGTGCGCGTGCGCGTGCGCGTGCGCGTGCGCGCGTGTGTGTGGTGCAGCACTTCTGCCTTGCCGCCGACGTAGACAATGCGTGCGTGCGTGCGCGTCTGGCCTGACCTCTCTCACGAGTAGCGGCGCACGGGGGGCTAAGGTCTGGGCGAAGTAGGCGGAGCCCACTTATCGGAGTTACCCAGCCCTTTTAATAAGCCACTTAGGGCAAGTGTAGCCCACTTACATTGCCATATATGGTCGAGGGTTTGGGCCCCCCCCAGTGCTAATGCCACCCCCCCCGTGCGATGGTCCCCCCCCCTGTGGGTGTGGTGTGGGTGTGCGTGTGGCTGTGATTGTGGCGTCATGCTGACGTGCTTTCGGAAAGCTCCAGTGCTCGACGTCGTCGCCGCCGCCGCCCGTGCCGTCGACGTCGTCGTTGTCGTCGTCGTCGGCGTTATCGTCGTCGTCGTCGTTATCGTCGTCGTCGTCCTCCTCCTCCTTCTCCTCCTCCTCCTCCTCCTCCTCCTCCTCCTCCTCCTCCTCCTCCTCCTCCTCCTCCTCCCCCCCCATCCCATCTGGTGGGGGGGCCCGAGGACCCTGGGACCCATCCCATCTGGGGGGGGGGCCGTGGGCCCGGAGCCCGCGATCATATATGGTCCAGGGTCTGGCCCCGCCACCCCCTCCATGCTGATGCCATCGCCCCGCCCCCCCCCCGCGCGATGGGTCCTCCGCCCCTGTGGGTGTGGTGTGGTGCTGGGGCTGTGGAGTGTGCGGCGTGGTACTGTGGTGCTCCAGAAGAGCCGCCGCCGCCGCCGTCGTCGTCGTCGAAGGGCTCCGGAGGTCGGCGCCGCCGCCGCCGTCGTCATCGTTGTCGTTGTCGCCGTCGTAGTGGCCGCCGCCGCCGCCGTCGTCGTCGTCGCCGTCGTCGTCGTCGCCGCCGCCGCCAACGCCGCCGCCGCCGCCGCCGCCGCCGCCGCCGCCGCCGTCGTCGTCGTCGTCGTCGTCGTCGTCGTCATCGTCGTCGTCACGCCCCCCCCTACCATCAGGGGGGCGGGCCGAGGGACCCTGGGACCCATCCCATCTGGGGGGGGGGGGCCCGTGGGCCTGGAGCCCGTGATAAAACCCACCTTCACATTATCGTATAACCCTTTTAGCAACCCCTCGTGCAACTTGTAAACCCCTTATCCCAGTCGCAACCACCGCGGTCATCCGAACATCCCCCTCCCGTCGTTACTTCGAAGATCCTACCTCGGGCCTCCGGCGGCCCTTCGTGACGATCCGGGCATCGCTGGAGCGCTCCTGGCGAGGCGCCGCCAGCGGAGAACGTCCCGAGCCGGGCGAACAGCCGTCGACATGCTCCGCTCGAGTCGCAGCCCGCCAGGTGGAGGCGGCCCCATCATGTCTTCGCGGACCCCTCTTGCAGGGCCTCCCTGCAGCGCCAACCGCGGTCATCTCGGGCGTTTGCTACCGTTGGGCGTGGCTTAGTGGGGGGGTCATAGATGGGGGGGTCGGAAACGGCCCCCTTCCCTGCCCTTTTCGGGCCCCTCCGGAGCCCCAGGGGGCTCGATTCGGTACCGTTTGGGTACCTTTTCGGACCACCCTCGCCACCCCCCCATGTATGACCCCCCATTGCGTGACGCCCAATACCGGGAGGGGGGGCCCCTTCTGGGAGGGAAAACCTGCACCTTAGCGCACGAGGGGAAGGGGGGAGGGGAAGGCGAGGCCGCCCTCGGAGGTTACTCGGCTCATGCGGAGGAGGGGCAGCGTGCACCAATTTCGTGCCCCTTTTGGGTCCCAGGGGGGTCCTGCAGAGCCCCTATGAGGAATAACAAGGGCTCCCACCTTCGCGCTTCGCGCTGCGCGAAGCGCGAAGTGCGAATAACTTCGCGCTCTCGCGCCGCCTCCCAGGGAGAAGAGGAGGATGAGGAGGAATCGGAGCCGAAACGCGAAGCGCGAATAACTTCGCGCCCTCGAGGGCGCCCTTGAATAACGGGTTGCACCTTTCTTCACCCCCCTCCTGTATCTCACTCCCATGACTCGACGCCCGCTCATCCAAGTATCGGCGGAGGACAAACCTCCCTTTAGTAAACCTCCCTTTAGTGAAAGCGGCCTGTAGGACCGAAACCGACAGACCTGGGCCCGCGAAAATGACGGCCGCGACGCCATCTCGCGAACCAAAAACGGCCAATCCCTGAATCGACGTGTCAGGGTAGGAGGCCTATCCACCTCCGAAAGTACCGTCGGAGATCCGGGGTCGCCGCCACCGCCGCCCTCCGGGGGGCCTCCTTGGCCGCGGCCGCCCGCTCGACCCCGAGGGCGGCCATCCGCCTCTGGCGGGCCCTCCTGCTCTCCGGCGCGGCCGCCGCGGCGGGTGCCGCCTTGGCCTGGCCCCGCTTCCGCTTGCCGATGCTCTTGCGCACCTGATTGTCGGAGGAGAAAAAGGTACCCATACCTCTACCCTTCGCCCGTTTTCCCCTTTTTGGGCCTCCTGGGAGGCCCTCGTCGCCACCGCTGGATTCGACTCGAAATTCTTGTCAGAACGCACCCCGGGAGAGGTCCGGGGAGTAGCGGTATCGGTAGATTTTGGTTTCCCCAGATTGGGAGACGACTTAAGGAGATGTTCATCTACAAGAGACGCAGCGCAAGAAACCCAGCCCTGAAATCCGCGGAGGTCTCTTGGCCGAGGGCTGGGTGTCTTCATCGCTCGCGTCGAGCAACTTGGCATCAATGAGCCCAACGCGCCGACGCTGAAGAAACCCAGGGTCTCCTGCCATTCGCAGTGTCTTCAAGATGTTCACATCCTTCAATGCCGAACGCAAGTCAAAGACACCCAGGGCACCTAGACGGAACGTAAGACGTCTCTTGTGCAAAAGTGACCTTTAGTGCCTGGCTTTTTGGAGGACGCGGAGGGATCAAACCTGGGCGCGCAAGCCACTTCGCATCGCCTTCGGCAGTCGGGGGACCCCGCACCAGAGGTCACTCCGGCGAAGTGTCACTCTTAATTACTTCTAGTCGATTCACATGGGTCGGAAAACTGGCCCTGAGTAAGGGGTCGGGACCTCCAGGGTTAGGTCGGGCGTGCCCCCCCCACAGGCGAAGCTTGGAGGAAAAATGAAAACAAATCAAACCAGATTCTAACATATTCACACACAGATCAACATACGTAGTCAAAACCATACAAAACATCAAAATGTAGCCCCCAGACTATTGTTTTTTTTTAAATGTTTTGGAATCTTCCTCCCGTAGAGTAACACGCCCGACTTCACTCCAAGGCCGTGGCGTTCTGGACAACCCACACTTGAAGGGGCCCCAGGACACACAAATAAATACACACAAATCAAAATATTCCCCATATTTTCCCATATTTTCTGGGTTTCTGTCTTCCCCCCCACTTCCCATATTTTCCCATATTTTCTGGGGAATCGAGGATTAATTGTGTCTGTGTGTTTCTTTTCCTCCTGAGCACTGTCGGAGAGATGCCTTCGTGCACGGCCGACGCCGGCCCTGCCCAGGCCCTGCCCAGAAGGCCCAAAAAACCCGGGCGCGCAGGCGCCGTTATCTTCCCGGAGGAGCCTCGAGACGGCGTCGTTCGCGCCCCGACCCTGGCACCAGGAGGAGGAGGAGGAGGAGGAGGAGGAGGAGGAGGAGGAGGAGGCTGTGGTGGTTCGCGCAGGGGTGCCCCGACGGCGGACCGGGGTGAGCTCGGTCGGCGTCGGTCCGCCCTGAGAGCCAGCGTTGCAAATGGCTCGCGACATCGCGGGACGGGACTTACTGAAGGGGCCCCGGGACACACGAATAAATCCACACAAATAAAAAGGTCCCCCATATTTTCCCATATTTTTAGGTTTTTTGTCTTCCCCCCCACTTCCCATATCTTTGCATATTTTCCTGGGAGTCGACGATTAATTGTGTCTGTGTGTTTCTTTCCCTCCTGACTTACGCATGATGGCACAGCGACCTTACGCGGTGGCTCACGCGGGCCGCCAGCGCGGCACGCCACAGCGGAGACGAGGGCGCTTCCGCGCGACCCCACGCGGGCAGCTGACGCGCCAGGGTCGGCGAAGACGACCCCGTCTTCTTCCGTCGCTCAAGTGTAGAAGAAGAAACAGCATCAGCATAAGCTTTTGGCGCTCCACGCGGATTTCTGGGATCTGCGCTGGAACCCCCCTCCCTGGCGCGCTCCGCGCGCCAGGGGCGGCGCCGGAGGCGCCACTGGGGGGGGCCAGCCCGGATCCAAGAGATCTGGGCGGACCGCCAAAAGTTATGTGTATGATGTTGTCGTTAAGCAGGGGCCAACCGTCCTGGCATTGCTATAGGCGTACCACGACATCATCTTAGAACCCGAAAGTGTTCTGAGAACGAAAGCCATGCTCTCAGAACGCAAACCCGAAGGGTTTAATGCACGACAGCCTCGGCCAGGACTGTTCGAAGAACACTTCGTGCAGACCACAAAAGGTTCTTAGAGAACATACTTTGGTGGGCCTATAGGTGAGCGTTAGTTTATTCGGCGTTTCGACATTGGGCGGAAAGGGGGGAGGGGGGGTCTGGCTCCAGGCCTCTGCGTAGTGCGACTGTTTGCAAGAGTGCTGCCTCTGGGGAAGACTCCACGCGCTCGAAACAGGCGTTAAAAGACAGCCAAGATCTACTCCAGGGTGGGGAGCCAATCGGCAAAACAAGGAAAAACAAAACGACCACTACCCTCATGAAGCCGATCAGGACCCCCCCTGGGTTTATCATTTGCACAGCACCGTAATTAGATAATTCTGGGGGGCGGTTTTCGCCGAACGATATGATTAGCACCGCGCTAATGGAACGAAACAAAACAATTCCCGCGCCCCGGCTCGTCCAGAGCAGTTTCTGAGGATGTCTCAGGCGAGGCGCTTGTTTCAGAACCACAAGGAGACCATATTGCGAGAATATCTCAAGCGGTTTGCTTGTCTCGGCGAGCAGACTCGTCTGCGTTCACATGAAGGTGCGAAGTGCCAGGGCAACGCTTCGGGGGGGCCGGGTGCGTTAATTATACTTTCGCCAGACGAGGGGGGGGGGTTCTTAATTGCTTCGCGAGGGTAGGCAAGCCAAGACGCTTCGCCACTGCTTGATCGCCAGTGGGGCATTGGTGCAGCCCGGCCTTTCTACCGGCGGCAGCCATGACGACGTCCCCGTCGCCGCTGGCGCCGGCCGCGCGCTTCGCGGGGCCGCGAGGCCGCACCTCCAGCCCGGCCCGCCGCGGCCGGAGCTTCCGCGCCGCGCCAGCCGCCATGGGCCCGGCAGTGCAGGCCCTGCAGGAGGGACCCACGGCCCTGACCTCCCAGGAGGGCTACAAAAATAGCACCAGAACATCGACGTGCTGATTCCTGTCGAGGCTTGAGGCAGTCCAGATGGACCTGTAGCTCTGGAGCGTCATTTTCTATGACCCTCTGGAAGGTCAGGGGAGGAAACGGGGTCGCTTACACCTGGTGGGCTGGGACTCGAGCTGAGTAGTTATGGGCAGATGGCGCGGAGGACCGCGGTGGTTCTGGAGCGCCCGTCGCGGCGGCCACACAGGGGAATGTCCTTCTGTGATTTGTTCCCCCCCCCCCCCACGACGCGGATGGACCGGCAATTGCTGCCTGCGTGGCGTACCAATCTCTTCGCATACTGTATGTCTGTAGCGTCGGCATGGGGGCACGATTCGAGCCAGGCAGCCGCCAGGCAAGCCCGGGACGGCTCATGAACCGACCCGGATATAGGCAAACTCGTGTATGGAGCCGGGGGGCACGCCATAGAGCAGGGGGGCCCGTCAGAGTTTGGATGGCCGCCCGCGGGGTCGAGCGGCAGGCCGCCGCCAAGGAGGCCCAACGGAGGGCAGCGCCGGCGGCGGCGGCGATGACCGCTGTGATTCCTGAAGAGATGGGGGGCTCGTGCCTTGATGTCAAAGTGACTCATATCTGGCCCGACCAGGCTGATGAATGGCTTTCACATGCCCTGAGCGGCCTACAGCGACAGGCACCTCCGGTAAGTGGACTCCGCCTACTTCGACCAGATCTTTGCTCCCTGTAAGTTGCTCAGGGCACTTGCAACCTACTCAGAAGCCTAGGCTCGGCAAGATACAACTTACCTCATCATTTTCTTCAAACTCCCTATTCCCTGAGCAGCCCCCGCGGACATCCAAGCATGTTGAGTGGTTGGGGGACCATCGCTGCCCTGAGAGCCAGGCCATCCGCGACATGTCGAGGCTATCCGATGCCCTCCACGGCCACTCGGATCCTTCGCAGGGCCAGCGGAGGCTATTCCAAGGACATTTCGAGGCCATCTGAGGCTGAACGAAGCCACGTGGACGTCGAAGCATGCAGCATACCGCGGCTCCCCAGACCTCCGAAGGGGCTGTCCGCTCTGACCCGGATCTCGAGGCGAATCCAGCGGCGGCGACGAGGACCTCCCAGGAGGCCCCCATGGAGGCGAAAGCGAGGAATGGATATCGGTGGCTGTTGAAGGGGCCCCAGGACACACAAAGAAATACACACAAATAAAAATGTGCCCCATATTTTCCCATCTTTTCTGGGTTTTTGTCTTCCCCCCCAATTCCCATATTTTCCCATATTTTCCTGGGACTTGACGATTCATTGTGTCTGTGTTTTTTTTTTTTTTCTCTTGAGCTGTACCTTTTCCACCTCTGCGCTGCGCCGGAAAACTTCGAGCCGCGCGACAGGAGCCCTCCCAGGCGTCGTCAGTGCACCTTGTCCAGCAGTGCGCCGCTCGAGCGAGCGGAGCTGGCGCTGCCCATGCACGAGGTGCTCCGGCGGACCTTCTATCGTTTCCAGCCTCGAACGTATCCCTATCCCTAAGACTGACACGCCAAAAGGCGATGACAATATTAGGGATTCGCCCTCAAAGAATAAGGGAATCCCTAAGATTGGCATCGTGACGAGAAGGTGCCCAGCATAGGGATAGGGATAGGGATCTGTTCCAGGCTGGTAATGTCGGCCAAATTGGCGGCGCGCAGAGGGGGGAGGGGGAGGGGGGAAGGCTCCTCAGCGGGAGGCTGCTTCTCAAAAGGCGCTGGCCTCTACATTAGTAGACTGGGCCCGCGCGTTCTAAGAAGCAAAGGTGCCCCTAAGAAGCCTTCCCCCCTCACCCTATCCCCCTCTGCGCGTGGGCGTTTCTGGCTGGCACGAAGCAGACGCGCGTCCCCGTCCACATTCGGGGGCGCGCAAACATGGATTAGCGATCCATGGATTTGGCGCGCGGTCGCCAAATCCATGGCTCGGGGGAGGTGCTCTCCCCAAAGTGCGGCCGGTGCCTTCCCCCATGGAAATCCGCGATGTCCCATGGAAACGGGACCCGTCGCTCATTCACGCCCGTGACAAGCTGAGGCCGAGAAGGCTTGGATTCGTCGTGGCTGACTCCGCGAGCGGACGCTCTGGCCGAGGGGGCTCGCCAACAGCACTCGGGAGGCCACGTGGCCGGCGCCCTCGCCCCCCGAGTCGCTGCTCGACCGGCCCGGGAGCCCGGGGGCCCAGGACCCCCGAGATCGTGCCTCTTGCACGACGTGGACCCCCCCGGAGGCCAGGGACTGGTCCCTCGTCCCGAGGTTTTTCTCGTCTGGCGGCCCCAAGCTAGCCACGGGGGGATGCGGGTCCTGAGGGGAAAGGGGTCCTGGCCCACGGGGCCTTGCCCCAGAGCGAGTCCTGCATCCTGAGCCGCTTCCTGACTGCCGCGGCGCCCGTGCAGGGCCCCGACAGCCCGAAGACGGGCTGGAAACGAAACTCGGGACGCGTTTCCCTGAGGACCCGCGCTTCCCCCGTCGGCGACCAGGGCCCAATGAGGGCCCCTGGAGGCCGGCGACTGCCCCGAGAACCTCCCGCCGTGCACGGCAGTGGCTCCTGCTCCCAACCTGAGGTCGGGCACGTCCTTCTACAAGCGGATGTTGGACGACACATAGCTAACACCGGATAGGACAGCTCGCCCCGTGGACCCCCTGCCAGCCCCACGCCAGGGGGCGAGCATATATACGGGCGCAGCACCTCACCGATCCCCCCCCGTCGTCCAACTCCTCCGTCTCCTCCTTCCGCCGCCTCCTCCTTCTCCTACTCCCTCCTCGTCATCCGTCTCCTCTCCCCCCCCGTCGTCCACCTCCTCCTCATCCTCGTCCGACGCCTTCCCCCTCTTCCTCTTTTTCCTCCTCCCCCTCCCCACCAGTCTCCCTCCGCCCCACCCACAACGTCGGTACCCTCTTTTCCCCACCGCCCCCCTCCTCCTCCTCCTCCTCCTCCTCCTCCTCCTCCTCCTCCTCCTCCTCCTCGTCCTCCTTATCCGCCTCCTGAGCCGCCCCCTATCCGCCATTGTGCAAAGAGCGTGGCACATAAAGTGACGGCCCGTGCGTGGCTCATGGTGTTGCCTGATTCGTTTGGGAAATATCCTCACCTCCCTGCCTTAAAGCTGCCAGTGACATATCCTCTCATCCCCCGCTTAAAACTGCCAGCTAAATATCCTCACACCCCTCGCTTGAAGCTGCCAACGACATGTACTCACCGCCCCTGGCCTGAAACTGTCACCTACTGATCCTCACCCCCTGGAATTTAAACTGCCAGCGAAATATCCTCAACCCCCAGGCTTAAAACTACCAGCGAAATATCCTCCACCCCCTCAGGTGCGAAATATCCTCACACCTCTCCTATAAAACTGCTAGCGTGGTATATTCAACCCTTGGCCTAAAGCTGCCAACTAAGTATCGTCACCGCCCGTGCTTAAAACTGCCAGCGAAATCTCCGCACACCCCTCAGCGACATGTCCTCACCCCTGGCCTAAAATCACCAGCGAAATATAACAGCCTCACACCCTTCGATTGAAATTGCCAACGAAATATCCGCACCCCCCCCGGTTGAAAATGCCATCGAAATACCCCCCCACTCCCTGGCATGCAAACTGCCAGTGAAATATCTTCACACCCCTCGCTTACAACTGCCAGCGGGATATCCTCACCCCCCGGCCTTGGAACTGCCAGCGAAATATCCCCACCTCCCCTGGCCTAAGACTGCCAGCTAAATATCCGCACCCCGTTGGCCGAAATGTGCCAGCGACACATCCTCAGCGCCCAGACGTAAACTGCCAGCGAAATATCCTCACCGCAGATGGCCTAGAACGGCCAGCACATTATCCAAACCCCCTGGACTGGAACTGTTTGCGGAATCTCAACCCCCTCACCGAAAAGTGCCAGAGAAAATATCCTCACCACCCTGATTTATAAGTGCCAGCGAAATATCCTCACAGCCGTCGCTTGAAACCACCAACGAAATATCGTCACCGCCCCTGGCCGAATACTGCCAGCGACATATTCCCAGCGCGTGGACTTATAACTGCCAACGAAATATCCCCACCGACTCCGGTCTAAAACTGCCAGCTGAATGGCCTCACCACCTGGACTTAAAACTGCCAGCGGAATCTCACCCCCCTGGCTCCAAACCGCCGCCGAAATATCCTCACACCCGGAAATAAATATGCCATCGAACGGCTTCGGTGATTCAGTTGTCAGTCAGTTTGTTAGTCAGTCAGCCAATCAATAAATCAGTCAGGTCTACGTCCTAAAAATCAAATGACGGGCCGCGCCCGTAAAAACATCGAAGCATGCTGAAACAACAATCAACAGAGCACGAGCACACGTCACCAGACGGTCTGTCTACCTTTCTGCAGCATTCCTCCTTAATGTGGGCACCCATTTTTTAACAAAAAAAACTTCGGAGCGACACCATGCTTCAAATACAGGAAATAATCGCGGAGGGGGTAGGACACGAGTGGACCACGCGCTCGCGGCGACGCTCGAGGGCGCTCGGAGACCGCGCGCCGCCGCTCGAGGGCGACCTAATCTTCGCCCGAAGAGTGCCCGGGCTCCGCGGCGCCAGGGAGGGACGCCCTGGGGAGGGGGGGGGGGCGCCGCAGACGGCGCAAGGCCCGCGGGGCCCGCGCCCTTCGGGGCCACGCCTGCATCGCCGAGGAGAGACGTCAGGAGGGGACCAGCTCAGGGGGGGAATGTGGAGCGAGGATAAAATACGATGATCAAATCGGGTGAGGATGAAATCAAGGGCAACATGCAGGGAGTTGCTTTACGATGGCAGAAGTGCGAGGGTTAAACATGTTGGAACGAACGAACGAACAAAAAGTCATACGCCCTAGGCGCGTGGACTCGTGCAAACTAGCTACTCACGCAGAAATTGACGACTCTAGACTTCCATGCTTCTGCATCACCCACATCGACGTTCAACTGCGCAGCGACCTTACCAATCTGAGCTGACCATTCGTTCCTGGGGCGGCCAATCTTCCTGACGTACTTCTGCGTGAGAGGGGTCAAGCTTCCCGGCACGAATGTTCTTTGCCTTAGAACATCATCTTCCATCGCCCTTGCCACCCTGCCATATGATAACAGTTGTTGTTGAAGAAGTCGCCGGTTCAACGGCTGCTACCCCGCCCCCTTCAGAACAGTTTCGTTGGAGATCCTCGAGAAGAAAGAATGTGGTATGTGAAGAATCCGGCGCAAACATCTACAGTGAAAGCCGTTCAGTTGCTTGAGGGCGGCTTCGTTCAATCAAGCGGAATTGAAACCGTATAGTAGTCTTCCAACAATCATTGATTCAAATACCTCGATCTTCCGCGCCCTCGTCAAGGATGTTCTCTTCCAGAAGCGGTTCAGCTTGCAGAAATCGCCCCAGGCGTGGCCGATTTTGCCGCGCAGCTCCTTGCCCGCGTCGCCGTCCGAGTGCAGATTCACACCAAGATACTTCATGACACCGTTGGCTGCGATGGCCTCGCCAGCTGGCGCGTGGGGGCGGTAATCCTTCCCGATTGACAGCAATTGGAATTTTGACCAATGCAAAGCCATGCCGCACTGCGCGCCAACGCACGCAGTGCTGTCCAACAGAGCTCGCAAAGCTTTTTCGTTCGATCCGATGAGCAGAGTGTCATCCGCAAATAAGAGCACGTCCAGCCCGCCAACGCCCAATTGTCGTCCAAACTCTCCAGGCATCCGCTCTGCGGCGTCGCGCGCGACGACTGTCATCAGCATCACGAAGAGGAATGGCGAAAGTGGGCAGCCTTGTGAAATGCCTGATCTCTGCGTCCTCTCAGCCGTGGCTTGTCCAATCACCGTGAATGTCCGGTCAGCGTAGATATGTCGGACCATCCGCAAGAATTTGCCCGGTAATCCGTAGCGCCCCAGTGCCGTGATCATGGCGCCCACGTTGATCGAGTCGAAAGCCTTTTTCCAATCTAGAGCGAGGACGCCGACGCGACCGCTCTGCCAAGCGAGCTCTTGATCGATCCGCCTTCTGACCGCGAAAATAGCGTCCTGCGTGCTTCGTCCTGACCGGAAGCCGAACTGCGTTGTCGCCAGTCGCCGTTCTGCTCCGGCCTCCTGCAAGCGTCGCAGCAGCACGGTCGCCAACAATTTGTACGTGACGCAGATAAGGCTGATTGGTCTATAGTTGTCACAATCCTCGACGCTGCCCTTCTTGTAAATGGATGCAACCCGAGCAGCGTGCCGGTCAGCAAGGGTCTCCTCCGCCAGCCAGCACGCGTTGCAAGGTTCCGTTCCGTCAGCCATGCGAGGCCTTCCTCCGTGTCCGCCACGCACTGCCAGAACTCCCCGGGGATGTCATCGGGCCCACAAGCCTTCCCCTTCCGCAGCTTCTCGACAGCCACCCAGACTTCTGCCTGCGTCAAAGCTCCCAGTTGGACCGGCAGCTCGCTGCCAAGCGGCGGACCGTCTATCAGCCCGGCTGGCCGCACGTGTCACTGCACGTGTTCGAGATGATCAGCCATGGTGTCCGCCCACTTGTCACTCTCCACGAGGTTGCTCGTCCGATCTCTCAGCTTGCCGTTCACGGGCTGCTTCGGCTTTCTCAATTTGCGGATCTGTCGCCAGCTGCCAGAGCTTAGCTGATCGCCTGCCCAGCGGGTTTTGTCAAGTTTCGCTTGTCTCCGAGCTGCTTTGCGGTCGCGCTTCTCTGCTGCGCTGTCCCCGTTCGCGTGCGCCTCCCGTCTCAACTCGAGCAGACGCAACGTGGCATCAGTAATCCAAGGCTTGTGGGCTCTGCGCGCCGCTTGGGGTAGCGTCTGCGTTGCTCGTGTCATGGCCTCCTTCGTGATGGTCCACATGTCTCCGGCGCCGATCTCCGGCTTCGTGGCTCTCTTCACGTGCCCGTTGAAGGCCGATGCGAATGCGTCTCTGTTCTCTTTCTCTTGCAACCCCTGCGCGCTGTGCTTTCGCACGACAAACATGTTCGCCGCCCTTGCGCGGCTCAAACTCCAAGTCGGCACAGACAAGAAAGCGATCAGAAGCCAGCACCGCCTGACGATTCGCAGCAATGCTTCGCACGTCTGGAAGGTTGTCGACATGGCACAACATCAAATCAAGCATATTGAATCCATTGCTGCTGACCGCCTCTGTCCGACTGCGCCCTGGTCCCACATACGTTGCTTTGCCGTCCAAACTGATCTCAAAGAAAGTACTGGCCACCATGAAAGAATTGCTGGCGCAAAGCTCCATGAGCAAATCTCTGTTGGGTACGTCCCCGTTGTCGCGGACCCGGGTGCCGGACGCGTGGTCGCCGATGATGTCTTCCTCCCCGGGTAGCTGTGCACCCAACCGTGCGTTGAGATCACCCAATATGAATTTGCCATTGTTGGCAGAGAGGTGCCGGTATTCTGCGTCCAATTGAGAAAAGAAACAGTCTCTCTCATCCAGGACTTTGCCATTGTGAGGAGCATACGCCGTAAGAATTCCCGACACTCCTCCATTCTCACGGAATTTCAAAGTGCATAGCCTTTCCGATACTTGTTTGAAGGATTTTACATGCCTCCTGCACCGTGGGGCGATGATGAAACCAACACCCGCCCATGATCTCGCACCAGAATCACTCACAGAAAAGATAATCATGTGATCGTCCTCAACCCTCACGCTGCTTTGCGTCACCCAGGTCTCTTGTAGACATAATACGTCGATGTGGTACTCGTGCATGTGCCCCATTAATTCGATGAGCGCCAGGTCCGTGAGCCCCTTGACGTTCCAGGAGCCGCAGACAACTCTGTCTTTCAAAACCGGCTTACCTGAAGGCTCGGGCCTAAGCTCCCTAAGTCCCGGAACGAAGCTTCTGTCCGCACGGGGTGAAACTGAGTCCACGCTCCCAGGGCCCCATCACTGTGGCAGGCCTTTGCCTGCCCCTTTTGACGTGCTCTCCCGGCTCCTTGCGAACCTCTCCTTGGAAGTGCGGACAAGAAGCTCCAATTCACGAGATTTCTGAAGCTCGTCCCAAGTCTTCCACTCCTCCTTCATCCAAGTGATGATGAACTCGTCGCTGATGACCTTTACCTGGACCACCTCCTCCCCCTGGACCTTGAGCGCGCCGGCGTCCCGGTCAATCTTGACGCTCTTCTGGGAGTATTTCCACTCAACCAGCTGGTTGCGAAGGTTCCTCAAGAAGCCGGCGCAGACCCGAACCTCGATGGGGTCCTCCACATCACACCAGATCCTGTCCTTCGCCTCCCCTCTCAAGTTCCCGGCCGTAAGCTTGCCCCTCAGAGTCTGAAGCGCCAGGGACGCGTCAACTTCATTTGCGAATTTTTGAAGGGGCCCTGGAACGCACAAATAAATACACACAAATAAACATATTCCCAATATTTTCCCATATTTTCTGGGTTTTTGTCTTCCCCCCACTTCCCATATGTTCCCATATTTTCTGGGGAATCGCCGATTAATTGTGTCTGTGTGTTTCTTTTCCTCCTGAATTTTGCAAACACCAAGCCCTTGAACTCCTCCTCCTCCTTGTCCTTCCTGTAAACCTCAATCGGCCGAACAAGTTTCTGGAGCCATTCGGCGGAGGCCTTGAAAGAGAAGTCCCGGAGGCCTCAACCACAACCGCTGAAGACAAAGTAGCCGTGGACGACGGGGCACCTCCACCGATGCCCAAGTTCATTTTCTGGAAAGAATCCTCCACTATCTTCGTCACCTCCTCCTCCGTCGTGATCTTCCCCATCTTGCGGATCGTCTCCTCCAAATTCTCCTTCGTGATGGCCGTCTCCTGCAGCTGGGTCGGGCCAGTCTCAACTGCACTGACGGCGATCTTTGCCTCCAAGGCCGTCTGCTTTGCTGACCTGGCTTCGTTCCTCGCCTCCCGAGCTACCTTCTCGCTATTCCTCATCATGCTCTTCATTTCCTTCATGTCCTTCATCATGACCTTCATCATGTTTTTGATGTGTCCTTCCTCGTCCTTCTCCACGCCCTCTTCCTCCTCAGCGTCCTCGTCATTCATCGTCGTGTCGGGGGCAGGCCCTCATCTCGGCCTCGTCGCCCTCGTCGTCGAGCGCTGGGACTTTTGCCGGGGGCGTTTTGCCGCTGGCTGCACCGTCGAGGCCCCTCTTGCCCAGGTTAGCGGCGGCTGCGGCCCAAGGACCCGGCGGAGAAGCACCTCCGCTCTTGCCCTTGCCGCTGCTGGCTCCGGGGGCTCCTCCGGTGAAGAGATGACCCTGTGGGGTGCCAGGCGTGCGAGACATCTTGGGATCGGGAGATCAGGTAAGTACGAGTGAGTACGAGTTAGAACAGGCGAAACTTGAGCCAACAGAACCTTGAGCCAACAGAAACTCGAGCCAAAATGGCTTGAGCCAACAGAAACTTGGGGATTACGTAAATGAAGACAAAGCCAGGACGAGGATAACATGGAGTGAAGATAAATCGATAATCTCAGAGGTGCGGAGGCTTTGGAAGATGTCTCGGGCGCCGCGGCCTTCTCAGCGCGCTCAGGAACGGAGATATCCTCGTCCTGACCCCGTCTAACATGTCCCTCACAGAAGAGGCCCACGCACGACTGGCTCCACGACGTGAGGCCGAAGTCCGCCGGGCAACCCGGGAAAGTCACGCGAGGCGACGCCAGGAGCGCAGACACCACTGGACCGGCTCAGGGGGGGGGGGGGGGACATCGACCCACGAGCGGCGGCGCCTCGCCGATGCATCGGCGATGAACCCGCGATGGCGGACCCGCACGTCCCTGGGCGGGGTGGGCTGTTGGGCCCTTGCCGGCTACGAGGTGGCGAGTGGGGGTCGGTGCATCCCCCCTCTGAGCCCATTCCCCCCTTGGCGCCCGGCAAGGACCTTGGGGGCGGCGTTGCTCCACCGGACCCTGCCTGGAGGAACAGCCGCAAAAACTCCACACACACACACGTGAGCTTTCGGAGGGCCACGCGGAGTTTTCGGATCGCGGCCGGAGCCCCCTGGCGCGCTCCGCGCGCCAGGGATTGGTACGCCCGAGCTGGGTAGGAAACACGTGGCACGATCCCCAATAGCAAGTGTTGTCCAAAACCGACAGCGATCGCTGTTGTGCAGGCGGCTCTTCTCTCAAGTGGGCAACGTCCGCGCCGACACCGACAGCGGTTCCTGCTCAAAACGGACACGAACTGCTGTCGGCCTTCGTCCCCACTCTTCCCCCGACCCATTTCGATCCTTCTGAGGGGAATTGGGGGTCCAACGCCGATCCGAGAAATCCGCGCGGAACTCCAAACATTGTGTGCACGCAGAGTGTACACACACACACACATACACACGCATGGCATGCAATTAACCACATATTGTGTTTGTTTGTGTGTCCGTCGCCTCTGCGGATAAATCCTGCCGTGATTCTCTGACTCGGCGGCGCGAGAAGTCATGACGGCACCCACAAGGGCCAGTTCGTTCTTCTCCGGCCCCGAGGCCACGGTCGCGGGAACAACACAAACGGGTTGGAAAAACACCCCGTCGGAGACCTAGGTCCGTAGAGTTAGGTCGGGCATGTCCCGCTTCATGCAGATCTTGGACGAAGCAATCAAACATACCAACAAGCATATTCAAAGATAGTCATATAAAAGACTAATGATAATCAACAGTCGCCCCCTGAACAGCTTGCTACTCTTTGAGAATACTCCTCCTGCACAGGTTCTGGTCGGGAACTGTCGCTTCGCGTGTCGTGGCGGCGGCCCTGGCGACTCGCTGCATGGGCCCTGCACGCGGACAGCACACGTCGCTTCGCTCCGCGAGGCGGGAGGGCTGGGGACCAGGCTCGGGGAGACGTAAGGCTCGGGTGCAGGGGGGACTCGGGCTGGCCAGACGGAGGCCATAATAAAAATGACGAGACCCACTCTGAAACTTGGCACGCGCTCCCACTGCAGACATCCTACGAGAACTCGACCGTCAAAATCCAGGACGCGCTCGTCAAACCAAAAATCGGCAAACCCGAGTTCCAGCTTACTCGAGCTTTACGTTTCCCCGACAGGAGGTGGACAGCGTGTCTCGCCCAAGCGTGGACAACAAGGACCGGCGGACCCTGAGATCCGACGTTGCAGCAAAAATTGCAACAACGTCGCAAAAAATCACGCCTGGAGCCCCGGACTCCATCGTTCTGCGCCGTTTTCCACGCCCGATCGATCCGTGAGGGTCCCCGGGCCCGAAATAGAGCGAAAACGCCCACTGTGAACAAGTTGCAGCGCCAATATCTCAGGGGAGTGGCACGCCGAGCCGAAGTTCCCGACCGCTTTCTCTCGGGTCGGGCGAAAGGGGGGGACAGTAAAGGGGGGGGGTGAGAATCAACTCACGTAGCTGATTTTCCCGGCGCCTCCCGGCGCCGGAGGCGGCTATGTATCGAGAAATGGCTCCCTCGGTGAGGCCGAAACCAGCTGCATGCAGCAAATTTCGTACCCCCCCTTTCCCAGTCCCCCCCTTTCGTCCGGCCCGATTCTCCCTCGGCTGCCGAGGTACTCCACGCGCTCGCCCGGCCGCACCACGCAGCAGCTCTGCCGGGACGCCAGTGCGCTCCACAGGCCCCGCAGGGGCCCGGCGGGGTAGGCGCGCAGCGCGCAGGGCAGGCCGGCCGCGCTGAGAGGCACCTCGGCTCCAGGCGGCGATCCCCCTCCTCGTCGAACCTCGATCCTCGATGCTCGACCCTCGCCCCCTGCTCCTCCCTCCTCCTCCTCCTCCTCCTGTTCCTCCTCCTGTTCCTCCTCCTCCTTCTCCTCCTCCTCCTCCTTCTCCTCCTCCTCTTCCTCCTCCTCCTCCTGCTCCTCCCACTCCTTCCGTGGGAGCGTGGAGTGAGGATTTATTGCAGCATCGTTGCTGCATCTTGGGTTCGCACTGGTCCTGCTCCTCGTCCTACTCCTCGGCTCGGCTCAGCTACCCGAGCACATCTACGAGTTGCCTGTTCTAGTGCACGGGGAAGCAAGCCCAAGTAGGTAGCAAAGAAAACAGTGCCAGGGAAACCAAGGACCTGCTCTTAGCCCCAGCCCCCCCACCCAGTCCCGCTTGGTAGGTCGGTCAAGCTTACGGCATCGTTGGCTCGAGCTGCCACTCCTAGAACAAAAACACAATGCAGGCGGCGTGGGTGGGGCCCAGGAAGCCCAGACCTCTCGAGGCCGAGGGCCCCGCAGGGACCCGACACGAAACGAGCCGAGCCCAGCAGGGCGACGAGGCACGCCGAGGGAACGCTCAACGGGCCGCATCCGGCAAGCACGGGGGCCCAGTGGCCTCATGGCTGCCCGCTCATCTCAGCCCAGCGTCGGCCTCCGTTGGCTGCGGCACGCCTCCTGCTGCCTGCTGCCGCTGCCAGCTGTCCGCCCTGGAAGACCGTCCGTTGGGTCGGGCCGCGCGACCGTGATCGTCCATGCTCCGCCCCGGTGCTGGACCTTCAAGAATCCGAGCGTGGAGACTTGGTGAGCAAATGTCGTGCATAGGCTGTGCAGCACCGTGCGCAAGACAGCGCACTCACACTCAAGCTGGAGCCTCTGGAGGCTTCGCTGGGAGGCCCGCGGGCGGTCGAGCGGCCCTGCTGGGCCGACCCGGCTTTGGTTTCGTTTCCGCTGGCCGTGCCGCCAAAGCATTTAGATGGGACGCGGTACCTCTGGTTCTTTTCTGAGCCTGGCTTGCTGCTGCCTATTCTCCCCTATGGATCTCTGGGCCGCCTGCTGCTTTGCTCTACGGCTCAGGCGGAGTCGACGGGCTACTGAACTGGCTTCTGCGTTTGCTGGCAAGAGCGGCGTCGCGTGCTGTGTGAGCTCGCCATGCCGCGACCATCATGCCGTAATCATCCAGACATCGCCCCTCGCCCGAAGCCTTCGGTCCCTGCCGTCCGTTACCGCACGGGCTGGACCTTGAACTGTAGCTGATGACGTCTGGCTGCGCAGCGGCCTCCTCGTCTGACTGCTTCTTGCACACTGGCTTATGACGCGTGCGGCTGCATCTCGCACGTGTGGCCGATGGCGCCTCCTAACACGAATCCTGCTGCTGCTGCTGCTGCTGCTGCTGCCGCTCCTTCTCGCACGAGCTGGTCCCGGTGCTGCAACTCCTGAATCATCCAGGCATTATTCTTTCCTCCTCCTACTCCCCCGTCCTCATTTGCCCCCTCCTCCTCCTCGTCCCTCTCCCCTCCCCCCCCCCACTCCCCGCCCACCCCCCCCTCTCCCCTCCCCCCTCCCCCCTCCTCCCCTTTCCCCCCTCCTCCTCTTTGTCCCTCTTCCCTCTCCCCTCTCCCCCCCCCCGCTCCTCCGCGCCCCCAGGGCACCTCGGCGCCGGGCGGCACCAGCTGCCCCCTGGCGGGATCCGCCAGCATCGAATGAATCGGACCCCAGACATCCGAGGGCTGGCACGAGCATCGAATCGAATCGGACCCCAGACCCCAGCATCGAATCGAATCGGACCTCGGTGCCAAAGATCCTGTCGAGGGTTCTGCTGTTTCGATTGAGCACGGCCCCCAGTTATGTTGTCCCCATCGTGCTTGAGGACCGCATCCCCGAAACGATTTCGAGTAACGCGAAAAGGTTCTCGTACAAGTGTCTACCCGACACGCTGGCGAAGTGCTGAGCGAGTATCGCCTCCCAGGGCCCGACACGTCAAGGACCTCAAATGTAGGTATTTCCCTGGTGTTCGACATTCTTGCTGTTGATCAAGGCTACAGCAAGTCGGAACATCATACAGAAGAAGAAGAAGAAGAGGAATAATCATAAAAAGTACAACTTAACTTTAAGTCGGGCGTCCCCCTACAGGCCGAAAAATCCCACAAAAAACATTAAGCAAATAGTGAATTAAAAACATTAAGCATAAACATTAAGCAAAAACATTACGCAAAAACATTAACAACAAAAACATTAAGCAAAAACACTAAGAAAATAACGAAACATTAACAATCCCCCCAAAAAGCAGTTAAGATTATCAAATATGGTCAAACAAATAATCCCCAGACTACTTTTTTACTATCTTTGAATCTTCCCCCTGTAGAGGGACAGGCCCGACTTACTATTGACACAATTTGTAGGAGGTCCGCGCGGATTTCTTGGATCTGTGCTGGACCCCTCCCTGGCCCGCGGAGCGCGCCAGGGGGCGGCGCCGGAGGCGCCGCCGGAGGGGCACGGCCCGGATCCAAGAAATCCGCGCGGAGCGCCACAAGTTTGTCGAGGTTGTCCAGATCGGTCTGAAGGTCTGGAGCGCTACTTGTAGGTCGGGCCTGTCCCCCTGCAGGGGGATTTTGGACGAAAAATTCAAAATGACCAGGAGATGCTCAAAGGATACCCAAAAATATTCACCAAATGGTCCCCAGGCTATGTTTTGTGAACTATTTTTGGATATTCCCCCTGTCGAGGGACAGGCCCGAATTAACGCTGCTTTTGAGCGCCCTGGACGGCCCTGCGGGGGGAGGGGGGGGGGAGAGCGGCGGGGTGGCGCAGGGCCCGACGCCCCACCCCCGCCGTGTGGGTCCGTCACCACCTTCTTTTTACCAGCGCGAAGAATGCCCAGTGGCGGAGGGGGGGGAGGGAGGGGGAGGAGGGGGTACACCCTGCGAAATGCTTAAGAAATCATGGGTTAAGAAATTCATAGTCTCAGAACTTGAGTAGAAGCCCAGAATTTCCATCGAAATCCTAGGATGTACATGGAAACATTAAGAATAATCGAGACTCTGGCCGAAAACTTTGGTTTTCTTAACCATCACCTAAGGTGTAGGGTGCGGCGGGCGCGCGGCCCGCCTGCGGCGCGCCGGACACAGGCTGCGGTGCCGGACCCTCCAGGGAGGAGAAGCCACCCCGACCCCCGTGGCCGGAGCGGCCCTGGGCGTTGCCCGACGAGCCATCGCTCGGACGTCCATTGCCTGTGTTTTTGTTTTCGGTTTCGTGCGTGGCTTTTTCGCGAAAAATGAGCAAGGATGCTCCTCGATAAAATGCACACGTCCGAGCGATGCCAAGCCTAAACAGAACAGCCAACGGTCCTGTTCCATTCCTTTCCCGGGTGCGTTTACGGAGCGGCCCCGCCTTTGCCGGGGTGCTTCTAGTGAGGGTGTTGTCCCTGCTCTCTGCGGGCGCACTCAGACCGTGCTGGGGGGGGGGCACTGGGAGGGGGGGAGAGCGTTGCGCCAGGGGGGGGGGGAGGGGCAGGGGGGGAGTGGGGGGGGCATGACGCGCTCGTTTTGGACCAGAGAGCATTAACACAAACATCAATTTGGGAGGTGTTCATCGATCTCAGCCCCTGGGCTCCTTCCTCGGGGCATGGGGCCCCTCAGATCCGACGTCACAAACGAAGAGATGTAGCATCGAAACAGAAACTCAACCGGAGCCCTGGACCACATCGTTCTGCGGTCATTGTCGAAGCAGAGTGCTACCTGCGGGTCCTGGGGCCCGACACGAGGCAAAATTGCCCGTCTTGAAAGCAATTGGGACGCCAGGATCTCAGGGGTCGTATCGCATCGTCAGAATCGAATCAAATCGTGCTAGCCTGGGCGTGTCCCCCTACAGGCAGATCGTGAGAGAAAAAAAAACCATGTACAAAAATACACGAAAAATATGGTATAAGAGTCGTCCCCAAATGATGTGTGTTGACCATGCTTGGATATTCCTCCTGTGGAGGGACACGCCCGACTTGAGGCCAGCCGCGATGAGGTCAGCGCGACCCCTGCCTGGACGCGAGCCGCGCCAACAGCGGCGCCAGGGGCACCCACAGGCTGTGGGTCCAGCTGTCCGTGCGGCAGGCGCAGAGAGCTCGGAGGGGGGGCCTGCCGACAGGTCGAGACAGCGGCGGTCCCTCCCTGGCGCTGCTCGCGAGCGTGTTCCTGCTCGGCGGCCTCGACATTGGGCGAGAAGGGGGGGGGGGGCTATCCTTACAAGAGCGCTTTTTTTTTTTGAAAAAAAAAGACATCGACGTCCTAATTCCGGTCGAGGTTTGAGGCTGTCCAGGTAGATCCAGGTCTGGAGTGCCATTTTTGAGCACTCTGGAAGGTCAGGGGAGGGGGGGGGGATCTGGCTCCAGATGCTTGCTGCGACTGGTTGCAACAGTGCGCCCCATGGGGGAGGCTCCACCTTCTTGAAAGCAGGCGCCAAAGACAGCCAAGATCTACTCCATTGGGGTGGGGGGGGGCGCGGGCCCGTGACGATCGGCAAAACAATGACTAAGAGAACGCTCGCCGGTGCCCCCCTCGTCGCCACGGCCGGACCCACCCCGAAAACCTGGTCCTGGGATGGCACCCAGTTGGAGCGGATGTGGGACGGGCCGGACAAAGCACACACACACAAACAAACAAACGAACACACACACACACACACAAACAAGCGAACACACAAAAGCACACACAGACACAAAACACACACACACAAACAAAAAACAAAAAAAAACTGCGTGTTTGTTCCACTGTGTGTGTTTTTCTTCCGCCGCTGTCTCTCGGGAGCGGCAAAGAGGGGGGTGTCCAAGAGGGGGGGGTGCAAATCATGACCGGCGGCATGTGCGCGGCCCAGCGGGGGGGCCTGGGACGTAATGAAACAAGAAGAGGCGCCATGAAATCTGCGGAGATATCATGGCCCCCGCCATGAGATCCACCCCCCCCTAGTCATCACCCCCCTCTTTTCCGCCCCCGAGTTTTTCTTCCGCCGCTGTCTCGCCGGGCCCTCCTCCGAGGAGATCACCACGGTCTCCGGGGCGCGGTTGGCGAAGAGGGGGCGGTCGGAGGGCAGCGTCAGCAGGGGCGGCGCCGTGGCGCGCAGGCCGTAGGAGCCCCCCCGGAGCCGCCAGGAGCCGATCTCACGCTCCCAGGGCGCGTACGCCTTCTCGGCGGCAGCTCGTGGGAGCCTCCCCTCCTGCTCCTCCTCCTCCTCCTCCTCCTCCTCCTCCTCCTCCTCCTCCTCCTCCTCCTCCTCCTCCTCCTCCTCCTCCCTTCTCGTCGGCTCCTGCGAATCGACGCTGGTCGACGCCAAATCGACGCGCATCGACGCTACACCGACGCTCATCGACGCTAGCCGGCGCCAGATCGGGCCACCGCATCCACTTCCCGACGCGAATCGGCGCGGGTCGACACTACAGACAAAAGTCCCCTTCGGTCGGAAGAGGCAGGTAGACGCATGAGTTAGGAAGGCGCTGAACGCCGACTGGGTCTCCACCCGCCCCCTGAAGAGGAGGGAAGAGGGGAAGCCCACTCGATCCTTGAAGTAGGCAGGCGCTCTTAGAGTAGGTTGGAATCTGGGAATGTAGAAAACAATCATACCTACTTTACACGACCGATGAGTACGAGGGCAGCCCCAGGCCCCCACGACTTGCCTCAAATCGGGCGTCCCCCTACAGGGGGACACTCGACGACAAACATCAAAATACGCCACAAAACAAATCCCCAAATGGTGGCAACAAATTCAAAAAAAGAAGCCCCAGGCTATTTACCTAACAGCGAAGACTGATAGGTTTCTAGTGGTCTCAAAAGAGAGCAGCAGATGACTCCACAGGGGGGTCTGGGCGGGTGCCGGACAGGGTGCCGCAGAAGTCGTTTTAAGCCAACAGTCACACACTTCGTGCTCTTCGACCTCCCAGAACTCCATTCCCGGGCCACATTCTGAATGCCCGGAGCCAACTGTAGGCCACTTCGTGCTCTTCGACTTCCCAGAACTCCATTCCCGGGCCACATTTTGAATGCCCGGAGCCAACTGTAGGCCACTTCGTGCTCTTCGAGTCCCCAGAACTCCATTCCCGGGCCACATTTTGAATGCCCGGAGCCAACTGTAGGCCACTTCGTGCTTTTCGATTCCCCAGAACTCCATTCCCGGGCCACATTTTGAATGCCCGGAGCCAACTGTAGGCCACTTCGTGCTCTTCGATTCCCCAGAACTCCATTCCCGGGCCACATTTTGTATGCCTGGAGCCAACTGTAGGCCACTTCGTGCTCTTCAAGTTCCCAGAACTCCATTCCTGGGCATGATTTTGAATGCCCGGAGCCAACTGTAGGCCACTTCGTGTTCTTCTAGTTCCCAGAACTCCATTCCTGGGCCACATTTTGAATGCTGAGGCAGGCTGATGCTGCGGCCGAGGCAGGCTGAGGCTGAGGCAGGCTGAGGCTGAGGCCGAGGCTGAAGGCAGACTGAGGCTGAGGCTGAAGCAGGCTGAGGCTGAGGCTGAGGCTGAGGCTGAGGCTGAGGCTGATGCTGAGGCAGGCTGAGGCTGAGGCTGAGGCTGATGCAGGCTGAGGCTGAGGCAGGCTGAGGCTGAGGCCGAGGCTGAAGGCAGACTGAGGCTGAGGCTGAAGCAGGCTGAGGCTGAGGCTGAGGCAGGCTGAGGCTGAGGCAGGCTGAGGCTGAGGCTGAGGCAGGCTGAGGCTGAGGCTGTGACTGCGACTGCCGTTGCCGCTGCGACTGTCATCGCGAATGCGACTACGACTGCGAGAACAGCAGAATTCTACAACTGGATTTTCGTCTGAATCTTAAGGGGAATGCTTTCATATATGCTTCTACACATCGCTGTTAGGTTGCTTTGCCGGGATAATTTTTTACTATTTGGAGTCTTCCCCCGGTAGAGGGACAGGGCCCCCGCGACTTGCCGCCGAGCGCCTTGACCACGTAGGGGGGGCTGGGCCCCACCTGGTGGGCCTCGCCCCGGGCCAGCAGCGTGCCGCCCAGCAGGCCGCCCCGGGGCACCAGCTGGAACACGTCCCCGTCATCGAAGACGAGGAGCTTCACGTCCATGCGCAGGGGAACGAAAGAGGGCATCCACTTGTGTTGCTCCCATCGTACGTAAGGACCACATCTCAGAAATCATTTCGAGCACCCAGAGAAGTGTCGAACGACGAACGAGTGTCGAAGCAGTGTCGAAGGAGTGTCTCCCAGGGCCCGACGCGCAGGGGAACGAAAAGTCGGAAACTGGAACATATACATAACCAGTGGCGGGCGGTTTGTCAATCCCAAGACTTTTCTGAGGGTCGGGGACGACGTCGGGGTGGACTGGTGTATACTTTTTTCCCTCGTTTTTCAAGGCAAACAACGAAGCATGTATACACCAAGATCCCGTATACACCAAGATCCGCGTTCCTATGCGAATTTCAGCGCAGGGTGGGAAAAAGCGTCGGTGTATAGAATTCGTTTCGCTAAAAAAGGGCATACACATAAAAACTCGGAGGTCCACGCGGATGTCCCGGATCGGCGCTGGACCCCCTGGCGGCGCCTCCGGCGCCGCCCCCGCCGGGCAGGGGGGTCCGGCGCCGATCCGAGAAGTCCGCGCGGACCTCCGAGTCTTTTGTTATGTTTGTGCCATGTTTCGCTCCGCTACATGCAGCAGTGGTTGCGCAGCACCGTGGCCTCGCCCTCCTCCTCCAGGAGGAGCACGTGGCCGCGCGGGTCCTCGGGAAGCCAGACGGACACGGCGGCAGGTGTTTCGCTATGTTCAGCCATTGTGGGCCCCTGCTCGCCCTCGGGACCGTCAAAAACGACTCAGGATGAAAAACTGGTCCCCTGGAATGGGTCCAAGCTCCTGGTGCTTGAAGGGGCCCTGGGACACACAAATGAATATACACAAAAAAAAGATTCTCAATATTTTCCTGTAGTTTCTGGTTTATTGTCTTCCCCCCCACTTCCCATATTTTCCCATACTTACCTGGGAGTCGACGGTTAACTGTGTCTGTGTGGTTTTTCCCCTCCTGAGTGGTAAAGATCACGGCGTCGGGTCTGGGTCGCTACTCCCATCGCCCTCTCCCGGGGTGCGCTGTGACCCCAGAAATTTTGGGGCGAACCCGGCCGTGGCGACGAGGGCCTCCGAGGAGGCCCGAGGAGGGGAAGACGAGGGACGGGCAGCGGTGAGGGTGCCTTCTCCTCCTCTGGGATCCTCCTTCACGGCCAGCGTGGTCACGATGAGCACCAGCAGGGTCAGCAGCACCGTGAGGGACACCGTGGCCAGCCAGCGCGCCGACACCCCGCCTGCCGCCAGGGTCGCCGGCAGCAGGCAGACGAGTGCCGTCGCGCCCAGGTTCTCGGCGGCCCTCAGCTCGCAGATGGAGCAAAGGAGGCCGATGATGGAAGAAACAAAAAACGGCATATGGTGGGCTTGTTTTCCACCACCACCACCACCATAAGCTGGAGGGGGGAGGAGAAGGAGGGCGAAGAGAAGGAGGAGGAGGAGGAGGTGGAGGAGGTGGAGGATCACCCCCTTCCCCTCCAACTTATTGTGGTGGTGGTTGTGGAAAACAGGCCCATCAGCATACAGACGGGGTTGACTGGGGAGCACACGCGATAGGACACAGGACTCTCCCGAGGGCCACATCTCCACAGGGATGTAGAAGGCACGGGTCACGAAACACAGGACACGAGGGTATCCTGGACTTGGCAGGGTCGACCTACTCGTCCACTTCGGCTGGATGCAAAACTGTCGGATGTCCGAGCGGCTTGTTTGGATCTGCGCTGGAGCCACCCGGCGGCGCCAGAGGCGCCCCCTCTGGCGCGCTCCGCGCACCAGGGGGGTGGGGACCCGCGGGGGAGCCCCGCGCGGGGCTCTGGAGAAAGTGGATGCTGGTGCCGATCTTGCTTCTCCGGCATGAGCAGGAAGCCCAGGAGGCAGTCCCAGCGCCCCATCGAGCCTGTGGGCAGCTCTCACAGGGATGCCCCTGCCCCACCGGACGGCCCGCCCACCTCGAGGGGGGAACCGAGCCCGATCCGCGGGCTGTCGCGGGGCCCATCCCTGCCTGGGAGGGCGGGCTGGTGGGGCTGAGACGCCATGACCCAGTGGGGGCGCTAGGCGTTCGATCTGGGACCCCTGTTTGAACGAAACCGCCCAGCTTTCGCGCCGAAGACCGCCGCAAACCACCAATCAACCGCGAGAAACCGCCCAAAGACCCCCGACGTCAGAGTACGACGCAGAATACACCGCCGAAGCCCGCCGGCACCCCGCCGAAGTCCGACCGGGGCCGACGGGTAACAAACTTCGCTGCCCCGATACGCAACACGCGACACCTAGCGTATTGATACGGAGCTCAGCACGTGGAATGAAAACGTAGGTCCGAGGCGATAAGCTCGCCAAAACGTGGGCCAACACGTGGAGCCAACACGCAGCGTATTGACACGGACGTCTTGAACACGGGACGTGCTGCTTTGCAAGACGGGCGTATCGAGGCAACTAAGGTAACAGAGTGTCCATGGCCAAAACGCCACGGAGGGATGAGCATGGCGCGGCGGCCCCCGGCCACACGCCGTGCCCTGCGAGCGGGCTTGGCGTGTCGCTCCGCTTCGCGGGGCGGGTGCCTGGGAGAGGCTGCTGACGCTCGGGTCAGGGCGGGCATGTCCCCCTACAGGCGGACCGTGGACGAAAAATCGGAAATACTTCAACAATAATCCAAAAACGAATTTCTAACCTAATCAAGAACTAGTCCCCAGGCTATTTTTGAAATTCTTTGTGGATGCTCCTCCTGTACGGAGAGGGCCATGCCCGACGCAACGCTCGGGGACTGGGAGGCGGACGGCGTGCCGCGGCGACGCGTGGTGGGCCAGGGCCAGCCGGATCCGCACGCCCTCTCCGAAGGCCCCCAACCCCGCCAGGCACGCCCGCGGGAGCCCAGCAGGTACCCCATGTTGCCCACGAGCAGCGCCACAAGGGCCACGGCCAGCCTCTCCGTGGACTCCCGCCCGCCGCCGGAGAGCGCCTGCAGCAGGTCGGCAAAGGTGCGCGCCCGGCGCAGGCTCGTGGGCATGTCCACCGTCGTGTCGAAGACGTACTGGTCGCAGGTCGCGGCAGGGTCGTCCCCACGGCGCCGCGGCGGCCCCGGCCTCGACGATCCCAGATCCAACCGCCCCAGCTTTCACCGGGGCGACGCCCTGTAGTCATGTTGCTCCCACGGTACTTAAGGACCACATCCCAGAAATAATGTCGAGCACCTGGAAAAATGTCGCAAGAGTGTCGAAAGAGTGTCGAAACAGCGTCTGGACACTCGTCTCCCGGGGCCCGACACGTGCAAACCCCAGAGTTTCGGTACTTTCTTGGTGCTCGGAGTTCTTTCTGGTGCTCAAGGCCAAAGCAGGTTGGAACATCATAACCCTACGGGCGAATCTGATCCCTGGGGGGCCCGGCTACCGGCAGGAGTGGCCCTGGGCAGGCAGGCGCCTCGGCGCGCGGCCTGCCGCGACCGCTCCGTGCGATGCGTCGGCCGCGGCCCGCGCGCTCGGGCTCGAGCCCTCGCGGGCCCGCGCCGCCCGGAAGCTGCGCGCCGGAGGCCACCCCGGCGAGCAGCCGAGGGCGAGGGGCAGCGCCAGGGGGGGGCCTCTGCCCTGCTCTTCCAGGAGGGCTAAAACATAGCACCAGGGCATCGACGCCCTAATTCCTGTCGAGGCTTGAGGCAGTCCAGATCGATCCACAGGTCTGGAGTGCTCTGTTTTAGCCCTCTGGCAGGTCAGGGTCAGGGGGGGGGAAGCATCGAGCTTGAGTCGGCGATGCATCGCCGATGCATCGGCGATCGGCCCCCGATAGCAAAGCCGTGCGGTCCTGGCCAGGGTGGGCCATCGGGCCCCCCCCGGCGATCCGTGGGCGATCGGGGGACCACGCGCCCCCCCCTGAGCCTGTCGGCCCTCACGCTGCCCGTGAGAGAGGGGCACCCTCGAAGTGCCGGGGCCGCCGCGGCCATCGCCGGCGCACCCCGCGTGCCCGCCGCCGCCGCTGCCCGCCGCCGCCCACAGGAGCCGGTAGTCCCCGAGCGCCGTCATCGGCGAATTCGGCGGGCAGCCGGCGCCGGCCCGGGGGGCGCCGCGAGCCGCCGGCCGCCGCCGGCATGGCGCCGCGGGAGCAGCTCGCGGCGTGCGGCGGCCGAGGTGGCGGCGGCCGCGCGGCAGCGGCGGCGGCGGCAGCGGCAGCGCAGCGCGGCGGCAGCGGCGGCAGCGCGTCGGCCGCTGCGGCAGCGCGGCGGCAGCTGCGGCAGCGCGGCGGCCAGTGCGGCGGCAGCGGCGGGAGCGGAGCGAGGCGGCGGCGGCGGCGGCAGCGGCGGCGGCGGCGGCAGCGGCAGCAGCGGCAGCAGCGGCAGCAGCGGCAGCAGCGGCAGCGGCGGCAGTGGCAGGGTCGCCGCGTTCGGGGGCTAAATGAGAAAGAGAGAGAGAGAGAGAGAGAACACAAAAAACACATACACACAGACACACAGCGCGCCCTGCCGCACTACGCACGGGCCACGGATCGGGAAGGACGGGAGGGGCCGATCGTGGGCGGGCGGTGGCAGGGGCAGCGGGAGGACGGGAGGACGCCAGATTGGGCGGCGACGACGACCACGGCGACGACCACGACCACGACCACGGCCGCCACGACGGCGGCGGCGACCACGGAGACGACTGAGGCGACCGCGGCGACCCGCGGCGGCGGCGACCGAGGCGACCGCGTCAACGGCAAGCAGCGGCGGCCGAGGCGGCCTGCGGCGTCGGCGGCGGCGGCGGCGGCGCCGACGCAGCGGGCCTGTCGCCGCCCGCCCGGCCCCGCTCGGAGTCGCCGTGCCCGCAGGGTGCGGTGAGGCGTCCAGCGCGCGAGGGGGGTGCCCCGCCCCGATACGCAACGCGCGACCCGCAGCGTGTTGACACGGGGCTCGAAGCGCAGGTCGGAGAAACGCACGTTGTGCAGCGATGGCTTCGCCGACACGCGGGCCAGCACGTGCCGGGCCAACACGCGTGCCGAGCCAACACGTGCCGTGGCGTCTCGAACACGGCACGTGTTGGACGGGACAACCGGCGGCCCGGCCCCACCTGCGGCCCCACGGGGCGCAGCGTATACCTCGTTCCTCTAGCGTGGGTTTGGGCATGGCATCCGCTTCGGCCCCCGATGGGCCGTAGCGCAACGTGGAGGGCCGCAGTTGGAGGCCTCCCAGATGGGGTCGGAGTAGGTGGGGTCGGAGGATCGCGTCACATCGCCGATGAATCGGCGAGGCCTTGGTGATGCACTGGCCATGCCTCGTCAATGGTGGCGATACATCGGCGACGCCGACGTGAAGCAGATCGGGCTCCACATAGAGCCGCATCGCCGATGCCTCGCCAGGTGCGTCGGCGATGCGGCGAGATCCTCCGACCCCATTTGCTCCGAACCCATCTATCGGGGATGGACAGACCCTTCTTTAGTAAAACGTGGTTTAGTGAAAACGACCTGAGGCCAACACCTGGCGGGCGCAAGCCTGGAAAATAACGGCCACGGCGCCCTCTCGAGAACTTAAGACGGGCAATTCACTAATCGACGTGTCACTGTTGGGGGTTCTGTCCACCCCCGAATCTAAGAGTGGTCGACATGTTGCGGAATGTTGCGTTTCAGCACGGGCAAGTCAGAGCAGCCTTCGGCGCGGGGGTGCGCGGGGATGCCGCGCACGGGGCCGCGCGGGGCCTCAGAGGGACTCCGTGGGCGACCGGCGGGCGACCTCGTGGGCGGGAGGGCGCCAGGGGGGCGAGGGGGGAGGCGAGGAGGGCGCGAACAGAATAATCAAAAAAGCAAGTAGAATGAAAAAAGCAAGCCAGATCCTCACCCTACGATGGTTCTAGTCTTGGATACTCCTCGTGTGGATGGGGCATGCCCGACTTTCCGCGAGGAGCCCGGAGATCTGGGCGATGCGATCTGGCAACGCCCGGCGCTTCCGCTCGGCTGCAGGCCCCGGGGCGAGCACGGACCCCGATCTGTTTCGAGAAGCGCCGCAGAACTTGGCGGCGCGCACAAGGGGGTGGAGGGAGGAGGGGGGGCTTCTTAGAAGGAGGCTGCTTCGCAGAAGGTGCCGGCCTTACATCTATAGATAAGGCCCGCACCTTCTGAGAATCAGGAGTGCTTCTAAGAAGCCCTCCCCCTCCCCCCTTCCCCCACCACCCTCCGCGCGTGGCCATAACGATTGGGGCCAGAAAGGGGTCTGGTCGTGATGAGGCGGCGGGGGATCCGATCTGGCGGCCGAGGCGGCCAGGGGGGTCGGGGCGGCCGGGGGGTCTGAACTGGCTGGGGCTCCAGAAAATCAGCCAGGAGGGTGGGGTGCGGGCCCAATCCACCTCGGACCCCTCGGAGGGGTCCATCTGGTGCAGTTTTCCGGGTCGGGGATGCACGGTTTCCCGTGGGGCCG